TCAGCATTAACGGTGTGACACCTCACGCTGAATGAAAGGCAGCAGAGGCTAAGAGGTGATCGAGCACTCACCACTTGAGTCTCGTCACTCGCTCACCAGTGGCATACGTAGTCACCTCCGTTGCACTCTTCTATCGCTGCTGCTGCTGCCGCCACGGTTACCGCCCCCGTGAAACTTCACTCATTCACTCCTCCCATTCTTGACTATCACCACTTTAATAGTGTGCTGTTTGTTGCTGGCCATTTCATGTTTTGGGTCTTTAGGTCTGTGTTCAGCAACTGTGTTTATATAAAAAAAAGAAATACGACGTGTGAGCGATGTTGCTTACACCTCATGAGCTGACAAACAGTGCACGGGGTGATTACAACCACGGCGATGGCTGTCGATGCACGTGCTCAGAGAATCGCTTGTTTACAGTGCGCGCAACTTTACACGTCAATTACTCTTTTGCTTTATAATCAAAAGTCAAAGCGACTTCCTGACTGAATTGAGCATTGGGCCATCGGTGCTCACACATCCTGTTTACAGCCCCCCGCAGAGCCAGTGATGGAACTTTATACATTCCTATGACAGTTGGGTTAATTTCTCCATATGACAGCTGCTGGTGGCTTCCCTCCCCACCCACCCACAAAGCGGTATTCATTTTGCTGATCTCCCCATCGGGATGATGAGATGAGGTCAATGAACCCCCCAACGAGGATTTGAATTCGCAGCATTCCGATTGCGAGCCGCGAGATCGACCACTGAGCCGCCACCTGTATGCACGTTTATCTGTATGTATGTTTATTTATATGTATGTTGAACTGTATGTACGTTTATCTGTATGTAAGTTGAACTTTTTTTGCACCGTACATAGCCAACCGTGCAAATTGGAGGTGCGGGGCAGGACAACAAACTGAACATAAAAAGCTAAAAGAGCTTTCAAATCTACATTGAAAAGTACATCGCTCCAGTGGCTTCTTAATATCAGAAGGAAGAGCGTTTTAGACGGCCGCAGAAGCACATCTGAAAGCACGCGATGCGGTGACCATCTTTGTTCGATGGCTTAGCCAAAATCCGCTGCATGCTTGAGGTTGTATTTATGAGTTGGGAAACAAATAAGGTGACAAAGACACTTCATCCCCATATTTGTGACTCTACTTACAATAAAAATCGTTAATATGTATATTACACATTCCATCAGCCACACGGCCTCCTGGGAGTGCATCATTTCAGCAGCATTGGTTTAATTCAAACAAACCCTGGACCGGTTTCCACACTGAGCATCTCGATTTGAAACTTTCGTGACTGCAAGGATTCATACTCTTTGGTTTTTTTCGGTAAAGTCACGTAGGTTAAAAGAAAACAAATAAATTAAATAACGACGTTTTGGATGCAACACAAGCTTCTGTCTTCAGGTGAAACCGTCACAGCAAAATTGCTGTATCAAGTAAAGAGAAGTCCCAAGAGACACGAAAAAACCAGAACCACACATCACAAAGCTGGATGTTAACAAGATCGTTATCAATCAGAATAACATCCCGATTTCGGAAAATCTGAAAACGGTACTGGATAAAGGGCTGAATTTCGCTGTCACCCCTAAACATATACCAGTAGAGGATGTGATCTCTCAGGTCGATGTAGCCCTCAAAGGCATAGGACACATCCAAGCGGACGTTGCGAGAGCTGAAATAGCTACTATTCTCAAGAATGATAAGAAACCCATTAGCAACATTAGTAAAAACGAACGCTCTGAATTTTTTAAAAATTTGAAAAAGAGGGATGATATAGTCATTCTCTCGGCCGACAAGGGCAATGCTACTGTCATCATGGATAAAAACTCATACAGCAACAAAATCCAGGACCTACTCAACGATGGCAGTTACTCCAAAATTAAAAGTGATCCGACTAACAGCCTAACGATAAAAACCAACAAGATCATCACTGGCTCGACTTCCCTAATCGAACCAACCAAACGTCCCTCCCTAAAACCCTCGGCTGCAAGACCTCCCAGATTCTATGGTCTTCCCAAGATCCATAAAGAAGGCACCCCACTACAGCCCATCGTGTCCACAATTCACCTACCTACAAGCTAGCCCGTTTTCTATCAGATACTCTGCTTCCCTTCACTGGCAAGATCACTCCAGCAGTACTTAACTCAACCCAATTGGTTTCTATGGTCAAGGATATTGTACTGTCTCCTGATGATGTCCTCGTCAGCTTTGATGTGGTCTCCCTGTTCACCAAGGCCCCAGTGCCTACCACCATAACAATAATTGAAGGCTTTGTCCAACATGGACTGAACCCTGATGTACCTGCTCTGGTTAGGCACTGCCTCACCAAATCTTACTTTACCTGGAATGGTACCTTCTACGAACAAAATTAGGGTACCCCTATGGGTTCCCCCTTGTCACCAGTGATAGCCAATGTTTTCATGGAGAAATTTGAATAAGATGCCATCCAGACATCCACCCTTCGTCCTTCCCTGTGGAAGAGATATGTCGATGACCCTATCGTCATTTGACCACATGGCCTCCCGGCATTGAACCAATTCCTGGACCACATCAATTCCAGACACCCATCCATCAAATTTACCATGGAAGTGGAGAAAGATGGCAAGCTACCATTCTTGGATGTTCTGTTTGAGAGGAGGCCTGATGGCTCTTTGGGTCATTCTGTTTACAGGAAGGCCACCCACACAGATTCCTACTTGAAGCCTAATTCCCACCACCACCCGGCTCAAAAGAATTCCCTCATCAAAACACTATACCATAGGGCTCATTGCATCTCTGACCAACACCACCTGGCCAGCGAATTAAAAGATGTACATCGGGCCCTCAAGATGAACGGATACTCTGACCGCATTATCCGCCAAGCTGTTTCTCCCACCATGCAGAAACAACCATCTGAAACTCCGATCAAAACCATCACGTTGCCATACATAGCAGGCGTTACCAAAAAGATTTCCAAAATTCTAAACAAACACAAGATCCAGGTCCGATTCAATACAGTACACAAAATCCGTGATCTGATCCCATCCGTAAAGGACGCCATTCCTGAATTACAGTACCCCGGTGTTTACAGATTGAGTTGTACCTGTGGTGACTTCTATATCGGGGAAACGAAACGACACATTGCTGACCGCATTCGCGAGCACAAGTCGGATTTGAAACATGGCAAGACTAATTCGTCGGCCGTTGCTGACCACTGTTATAATACTGCTGGTTCTCATGGCATTGTGTTCTCAGATACCAAGGTACTTTGCAAATCTCCTGGATACTACCAAAGATTTGTCCACGAGGCCATCCAGATATACAAACACAGACGTAACTTCAACCGAAATGATGGATTCAGACTGAGCAATCATTGGAAAGATATAATTAACCAAGTTAAACTTTAGTTACCGTGCAGTTTACTGATAGACAGCCAGTTTAGATTGATCTTCTTAAACATATCCATATTACCAGTCTTACCCTCAGCTCCACGCACCACCATCAACATCATCACACGTTGCTTATCATGTTTAGCTTATTTTTCTACTTTAGTTACCGTGCAGTTTACTGATAGACAGCCAGTTTTGTTTTATCATGTTTAGCTTCTTTTTTCACACGCTGGTGGCCTGCTTTGAATTTTACCCACCCAGCAGCATAACAAAAGGCAGCTTAATCCTAGCTTGCTTATCTACTTCTGCCATCTACATTACAAAGGCTCAGTTCCAGCAGCCGTACTGACCATCTCACAACTCCTCCTCTCCCACGGCCCATCCTGGCTCCTCCACCCTTAACTAGTATATAAGGTCGTGTCTCTTGGGACTTCTCTTCACTTGATACAGCAATTTTGCTGTGACGGTTTCACCTGAAGACGGAAGCTTGTGTTGCCTCCAAAACGTCGTGATTTAATTTATTTGTTTTCTTTTAACCTACGTGACTTTACCGAAAAAACCAAAGAGTACTGAGCATCTCATCGGCAGAGTCTGGCTCGCTTGAACCAGTGCTGGTGAACTACCAGATGCTTATGGGCGAGAACCCTCTCTGTTATATATGGGTCCGAGTTCCATGCAAACTGTAATACAACACGAAATAATTATTAGCTATGATTTACAGAACCTAAGTAGATACTCCACAACGTCGCTTATGATTATTTGTGCTCTGTATTAAAGCCGTACTAAGAAGTAAAAAAAAGCCAATAAAAAATACAAGGGAGGCAAAAAAAAGTGAAACGATTATTGCACCATATCGTCATGCAGAATCGTTGCCAGGGAGATGAAGCTCCGGACGATTAACATAAACTGCACCACACATTATTTATGCATTTGTCATTTGGCATTTGTCTGCCAAAACTAACACTCCGGTTATTTATTGACATTACGGTCCAAATCTGCCGACCGTTGACCCTGCCCATGAAGTAACATTAATAAGCCTATTGGCAGGACTTAGACGCAATTATTTGGAAAATTACGCGAGCCAGAGATGCAAGCGCCGTGTCACGCCAGCCTGGCCAGCGTAACCGCTCATTATGCAAATGGCCCGGCGGCTGCTCAGCGGTCGAGCGAGCGGCGCGCAATCACGAGATTGCGAGTTCAAATCTTGGTTGGAGGGGGCTGACTCAGCCCATCTATCCCTACCCTCCCGGGGTCCATACAAATTAGTACCACTTTGTTGGGGGAAGTGAACAGCACTTGTCATGTGGAAAGTCTCACCCCTCCGCCCCCGCCCGTCAGAGAAATACGGAATTTCCACCACTAACTTGAGAACAGGGGATGAGCACAAAAGCCTCGATGCTCATTTGAGCAGAGAATAACTCCCTGCATTCCCTTCTACGCTTAGAAAACACGTGCTTAGAATATTTGGCTGCAAATAAATTTGGACGTGATAAGCCACTAAAGTTTAGCGATCATTTGCTGTCAGGTACGCTTATGAAAAAGAGCTCGGTCGGCCTTAGCTGGTAAAATAATTTCGTTTACAAAAAAGTGTTTTTACGCCGGGGGCCTGGTTTTACATGCGCGCTCGTCCGTCTCTCACCGTGCCACTTGTCTGGTGTTCGGCCCGGTACTCCACCTCGTACTCCAGCACCACTAGCCCGTATTTGACGTTGGCGGACGGAGGTGGTGCCCAAGTGACCAGAACCACCGGATCTGGGTCGCTGACGTTCCGCAGCGTCACGTTCACGTTGACGGGAACGTCCGGCTCCACTGGGGAAGGAGACGGCAACCAGGCCCAGGGGGTGAGTGCCACTGCAGTGATAACTCACCCACGACAACTAAAAGTAAACAATTTTTTTTATTTTACCAGATAAGGCCCACTGAGCCATCGAGCTCTTTTTTCAGAAGCGACCTGGACAAAAATGACAGCTCAACGAAGTGGTTTATCGTGTGCAAATGTAAAGCAGCCAAATACTCTAAATGCATGTTTCTAAATGTGGAGGTAAATACCGGAGGATCCGGAGATAAATCCACGCGACCACATGGAGAGACATGCAAACTACAAATATACAGGCATGAGGGTCAGGATCGAAACCATTACCTCCTGCATAGCAGCCGAGGGAGTTAACATCTTGCCAATCACTCACTCACACTTAACAACAATGTACACAATGACAGAGATCCCCTGTATGGCCTTGTACAGACTGTTGGGGCAAGGGCTGTTAGAGGGCACCTATGAAGGCCAACACACCGCATCGGTAGGTGAGTGGCCAGCACAATGCCCGACTGCCTTTGTGTCCCCAGTTGTAATGTTTACATGCCACACCAGGTACTCATTTAAGGCCGAGTCGACTTAGAGGAGGCCCAGGACCGGTTCAAATATTCGCAGGAATTGAACGCAGTTCAGCGCAGTGTGCTAACCATGACACTACTGCTTCCATAAGAAATAACACGCTCACCAGAAACCACACTCATCAGCAACCACACACATGCCAGCAACCAGGTAGGGGAGGGAGCGTCTCCCCAGCAGTAACACGGAGAGACAAAGTCACCCGTGCAGCGACAGCGAGGAGCACCAGCCCTGGAAGCCTCCGCCGTCATCTCGCTGGGGAACCGCGTCATCATTCCTGATGTTTCGCACGTTTTCTCGAACGGCGCTTCAGACACTTGCTACGACCGCTGCCCCCCGTCCAGAGCCGTGACAAACGTTACCGAGCGTTTCCTGTACGCGGACCCCCCCACACCAACTCCCAGTGGTGCGAGAGACATATTTCACCGCTCACCGTAGTCCAGCAGCTTGATGCAGTGCTTCTCGAAGGACGCGTTTCCCGTGGGCGAGCTCGCCACCACCGTCACGCAGTGCATCACCCACATCGAGGTGTGCTCCTGGTCGAAGAAGCAGCTGTTGGGCCCCGCGGTGACGTAATCCGGGCACTCGGCGGACTCGTTCGCCCTGCGCCAAGCAGCCAATCGGCAACAAACCCGAATGAAGACGCAGAATCCTCACCCTTTAACCTTTACCGGACTGTTGGGGCGAGTGCTGTCAGCAAACACCTATGAGGGCCCCCACAACACACGAGGGGGTGGGGTGGTCAGGGTATCTAATTTGAGGCTGAGTCAACCTAGGGAAGGCCCGGGACCAGTTCAGATAATCGTCACCGGTATTGGTGGCCATGAGCGAGAATCAAACTCGGGTCTCCGGGGTTCGTAGCGCAGCCCGTTAACCCCTGTGCCACCGCTCCCCAAACAGGCACTCTCGCTCAGACCGCTGCTTCAATACGAAACGGTTTCCCACACAGACAAAGATCCCCCGTATAGCCTTTACAGTCTGTTGGGGCAAGTGCTGTTAGCAAACGCCGATGAAGGCCGGCACGGCACACGAGGGGGTAGTTAGCCAGCATCACGCCCGACTGCCTTTGTCTCCCCAGTGGCAATGTTTTACACACTGCACCAGGTATTCATGAGGCCGAGTCAACTTAGAGGAGGCCCAGAACCGGTTCAGATAATCGTCACCGGTGTTGGCCGTGAGCGGGAATCGAACTCAGGTCGCCGGGCTCTTAGCACACCGCCCTACCCGCTGCACTACCGCTCCCCACACACACACACACTGACAGAAACACAAACTAGACTCTGCCACTAGTTGTCAACTTATTCAAGTCTCTAATTAAAAACTCACTCACACAACGTGCGCAACCGTTACAGCTCGTGTGCGTTCTACATGAAGCTTCTGTGAGCACTTTATTTAGGCATTCGCCTGGGTGGGATATCCACTGCATTAACACGCACTACACAAGTTATAGATGCTATATGTTTGCATGCATGTCATTCACGTGTTGGCTATGTGTGCGCGTGTTTATGAGTGCGAGTGTGTTAGTGTGTGCTGTTGTACGAGGAAGTTGTGGAGAGAGTGGAGAGTTTCCGATACCTGGGCAGTGTGCTTATGACCGGCCCCAGTTTACCAGCAGAGGTCTCACTCCGAATCAGTCGAGCGGCAACATCTTTTCATCGGTTGCGTAACGCTGTGTGGAAGCTACCTGGTCTGTCGCTCCGCACGAAGCTTCAGGTCTTCTCGGCCACGGTCATTCCCTCCCTTCTCTACGCTTGCAAAACGTGGACCCCCCTAATGGAGCATCGTCGCCGGTTGGAAACATTTAGGCTGGCCTGCCTACGATCCATCCTGGGTTTAACCAGGCTGGATTGTGTGAGGAGCTCACAAATCCTTGAAAGATCTGGGCAAAGTCCCATCGGTGAGCTCCTCCGGAAGGCAAGGCTGCGTTGGCTGGGTCATGTAGCCCGCATGCCTAGCCACCGCATGCCTAAACAGCTTTTGTTCGGCCGGATCGAGGGGGCTAAACAGGGCGCTGCACGGGCTAGAGAAGAGATGGAGTGATGTGGTATAGGAGGACGTGGAGCTGAGTGGACTTGCCGATGACTGGTACCAGCGGTGTCAAGATCGGCCTCAGTGGAGGAGGCTCGTGAAGGACGCTACTGGGCAGTTGGAGGCAGTCGCCCTCCAACAACAACGGAGGGCGGAGGAGCGACGCTCACAACAACGAGCGGAGCGCTGGGTGGCTAAAGCACAGCAAGTTGGTACAGTAGGGGGCACAGGTGATGCATCAGCCAGTCATTTCAGACATCTCAGTCAGTCGACCCGTGGCACCTGGGTCTGCCCCGTGACCTCCTGTCAGCGGGCGTTCGACACTTCACGTGGCCTCAAGGTGCACTTGGCCTGGTACAAGCGTCGTGGTGACGTCACCGCCACTTAGTGGTGAATGGCGGTTGTTGTTGTTGTACGGGTCCGAGTGCTGGGGTACAAAAAGAAGGGAGGACCAAACTATGGCAGTCACGGAGACGAGGATGTCACGGTGGATGTTGGGTTTAACAAGGAAGGACAGGGTGAGAAATGAAGAAGTGAGAGGAAGACTCAATGTGGTAGAAATCACGGAGAAGATGAGAGAGAGAAAAGGCTCTGGTGTGGTTCGGTCATGTGGAGAGACAACAGGAAAATTACGTGGGTCAGAAGGTGCAAGTGAAGCAAGAGGATGGAAAGAGGTCAAGGGTAGAAGAAGAGGTGGAGGGGCGATGCGGTGCGATGGGACACGGTGGCCCGAGGAGCGTAAAGAGAGATGGCGCAGGACAGGGCAGCGTGGAGAAGGTTGGCAAGGACAGCGGAGCATCCCACACAAGGGGGACAAACGCGTGGAAGTAGAAGACGAGTTTGTTCGTATACAGGGCGGTCCAGATGTATTGTGACTCCCCTCCTCCCCATTTAATTCTCTAAAACTTAATATATTGTTTTAAGTAAAGTTTCTTTAAAACAGAAATGAACATGCAAAGGGGAAACATGTTTGCGGGTCAATTAATTTGGGGGGGGGGGTCACCATACACCTGGACCATCCTGAATATGTGTGAATGTGTTTATGCATGTGAGTTTATACGTGTACACTTGGGTAAGCATGAGCGTAGATGTGTGTGGGTGAGTGGGTGGGTGGGCGAGTTTGTCTTGGTTGTATATGTGTATGTGCATTTATGTGAATGTGTCTGTGTTCGAGGCAAAACACAGTGGCCAATGTATGTACGTTGAAGTTCTTTCACCCCGTACGTAGCCAACCGTGCTAATCAGAGGTGCCTCCAATGGGGGCTCTTGACAGGTACGAGGGGCTGGTTAACCCCTCCCTCTTCAATGAAAGAACCTACAAAAACATCAAAATATGCCTCGTGTGCCGGAGGCCCATAGGCATTCGTGACATTCTCGTGTCAAACCCCTTTCGGTGCAGTTGGGATACTGAATCCCCCCTCTTCCACCCCCTCTCACGGCTCCTCCAGAAGCAGCAGAAAACCACTGCGGCTGGCCACGTGGAATGTCCAAAATGTTAACTGTGCCGGAGAGGCTGCCATTCCTTTGTCGGAAGCTGGACGAGTACCGCCTGGAGCTCTGTGGAATAGAGGAGATCTGGTGGTCTGGTGCTGTCTCCAGTCACCGCGAGGGGTGTGGACAGTCCTCCACTCGGGGTAGGAAACTGCCAAAACAGGGAGTGGCTCTTCCCAACAAAGAAAAAAGGGGTGCATGAAGATTGCAGCGGTGACGTATGGGAAGCCATGAGTCTCAGGCTGCTGTGGGCATGCCTCCCCATCAATAGGAGGCGAGGAATGGTGGTGGTGGCTTACGTCCCTGCCAAAGATGAACACCAGTTAAGGGATGCGGGCAAAGGCTAATAAGTCAGATGCCTTCTTTGCGTGAATCACAAAACAAATACTTGGGTGGGAATGATTGGAAGGCATGGTCCAGATCAGCGCAATAACAACGGTAGGAGGCTGCTTGACTTATGTGCAGCCCATGGACTTATACATCACCGAAACGCTGTTCCATCATCGGCACAGCCACACAGCATTATGGATACATGGCGGCTCCAAGCAAAAACATCTGCTGGACTAGACAGTGACAGAACATTGAGTATAGGCCAATGTCCTTTACATCACGACCTACCGTGGAGCTGATCTGCCCATTGTCATCTGTAAGATGCGCCTACCATACTTCCCTGCGGTGGTGAGTGTCCACCCAGGACCCCATTAAAACCACAATCGCTTGATCTCGGCTAGCTGACGAAGGTTGCAAGCAAAAATGTAATCATAGCTTGCAGCTGGTGTTGGCATCTTCTCCTCCTCTTCCTGATTCTGAGGGGGAGGGGTGTGATTCAGGACGGTGGTTCATGCAGCTGCGACGGCTTCATTGGGTAGGCAGTCTAGAACTCCCCAGAAACCCTGGCTGACAAAGGAGGTTGTTCCAGCTAGCTTAGCGAAAGCAAAAAGCCAATTCCATCCATAACATCCCACATCCAAGAATGAGGATGCTTACGGTCACCTTTGCTTAGAGATTTGGAGAGATATGTGACGCTGTAATAATAAGTAGTGGTTGCTGAGGAAAGGAAAACTGCCTGAGCAGCTCAAAAACATAAAACACTCTTTAAATTTCATGAACTTTCAGCGCCGCACCTATTGCCATCGTAAAGGGAAAGAATGGTGACCCAATCTCTGACCCATAGGAAGGGGTTTGTCTGTGAGGTCTTGGGGGAGGAGAAACCCCTCAGCTCAGATAACACAATGGAGCTTGACCCCGCTGGAGAGTTGGAGCCATTTCATGTTCAAAATTGGGGTGTGACGGGGATGTCCTCTGGCCCCTACACTATTTCATGTTTTTTTGACCACGTTTAAAAATCTTTCCTTGGCCATGCCAGGGAAATTTACATCTGGTACAGATACAATGGGAGGCTAATCAACTCATGGGTATGGCAAGGGGTGGCTTCCCACTGGTCAACCATGGTATGTATGCTGATAATCCGGCAAATGACAATGCGCTCTTGAGGAGCTGGAGACTCTGCCGCTGAACCTGCGAAACTGAGACCAAATGTATGCAACTCCATCAAGGGGCATCGTGGGAGGAGTGACAATCGTTGTGGTCATCGTGGTAGTGGCAGTTGAGGTGGTGACAGTGGCAGTAGTGGTGGTAGTGGTGGTAGTGGCAGTGATGGTGACACGTCAGTGAGCTTTGGTGATGTATGTATGTTGAACTTCTTTTGCACCGTACGTAGCCAATCGTGCTAATCGGAAATGATGATGGTGGCGGTGACACGGCAGTGAGGTGGGTCGAGTGTGAGTCTCACAGGGTGGATCCGGACTGCGTGGTGTAGAAGAGGGTGTAGTTGGTGCTGGGGTCATCTCCCTTCGCTGGCTGCCACCAGCACGTCAGCGTCAGCATGTCCACCGTCCGGCACCACACGATCGGCCGGCCCGGTAACTTTCCTGCTGGTGGGCACACGAGCAGCCAGCTCAACTCACGACCCAGGCCTAGTCCAGCCTCCAGCGCAATATCGAACTAACCCAGCCTATAGCCCAATTTATAGCCTGGCCTCCTGTGTCTAGCTTGGACTCCAGCTTGTCGCCCAGCCTCAAGGCCAGCCTCTAGTCCACCCTCTAGCCCATAGGTCAGTAACCTGCGGGCTCCCAGGACCACACGTAGCGCCTTAAGGACTGCTTCGTGACATGATATAGTAAGTGCCACCGTTTCATGTTCATGTGCATTGCACCTTTTGAAAAATAGATTTTATTACTGAATTAAAAAAAAATATTACTCTTCTTATTTTGAATCTTGACTTAAAGCTTTCGTTACTGAATTCATACTCTTTGGGTCTTTCGGTAAAGTCACATAGATAGAAAAAGAATAAACAAATAATAAAAAATCACGACGTTACGATCATGATTTTTAAATATTATTTTTCTTCTATCTACGTGGCTTTACCGAAAGACCCAAAGAGTACTTCTTATTTTGGTTGCCGACACCTGCTCTAGCCCGACCTCCAGTCTCTAACCCATCCAGTAGCCTGACCTCTAGCTCATCCACTAGCCTGACCTGTAGCCCATCCACTAGCCGGACCTCTAGCCCAGCCTCCATCCTCTAGCCCATCCACTAGCCTGACCTCCAGCCCAGCCTCCATCCTCTAGCCCATCCACTAGCCTAACCTCTAGCCCAGCCTCCATCCTCTAGCCCATCCACTAGCCTAACCTCCAGCCCAGCCTCCATCCTCTAGCCCATCCACTAGCTTGACCTCTAGCCCAGCCTCCATCCTCTAGCCCATACACTAGCCCGACCTCTAGCCCAGCCTCCATCCTCTAGCCCATCCACTAGCCTGACCTCTAGCCCAGCTTCTATCCTCTAGCCCATCCACTAGCCTGACCTCTAGCCCAGCCTCCATCCTCTAGCCCATACACTAGCCGGACCTCTAGCTCAGCCTCCATCCTCTAGCCCATCCACTAGCCTGACCTGTTGCTCAGCCTCCATCCTCTAGCCCATCCATTAGCCGGACCTCTTGCCCAGCCTCCATCCTCTAGCCCATCCACTAGCCGGACCTCTAGCCCAGACTCCTTCCTCTAGCCCATCCACTAGGCCATGCTCTAGCTCAGCCTGCATCGTCTCAACCATCCTCTAGCCCAGCCTCCATCCACTAGTCCATCTACTAGCCCAACCTCTAGCCCATGCCTCTAACTTTTAGACCAACCACTAGCCTGGTCTCTAGCCCAAACTCTAGCCTCGAGCTCATCCTCTAACCGAACATCTAGGAATGTGGAATTTTCATCACTGGCTTTGGGCAGTAAATGGGATAGGAGCACTGCCTCAATGCTTATAAAAAAGCAGGAAATCACTTTGACTTGTTGATTACTCGTTAAGTATGTTGAACTTCTTTTGCACCGTACGTAGCCAACCGTGCTAATCGGAGGTGCAGGGGAAGGACAACAAACTTAACACAAAAAGACGTTTGAAAGAAATTAGTTTTAAATCCAGATTTAAAAGTGGCTTCCTAATAACGGAAGGAAGAGCGATCCAGACGGTCACAGAAGCGCATCCGAAAGCGCGCGATGCAAGTGACCCGTCTTTCTTCGATGGCGAACAGACACATCTGACTTCGACAGAGAACAGCGCAGCTTCATCAGCAAGGGCATAGGCTCTGTGTTTGAGGCTCACCAACGGGGCTTGGGGAGGCTGCCAATGTCATCAGCGCCAGCAACAGGAAGAAACACTTGCGTGCAGGCACCATGCTGCAAAGAGAGCACACCAGGTGGCGGCGGCGGCGTCACAACACTGCGTTGTCACACAAGAGAGGTGGACACGTGCACGTGTACGAGAGGATTTAATTACACCTGAGGCAGCAGTCGGGGTAACTGTTGATCCGGTACTAATTCGCTCGAGTGGCTGGCTCACGCTTCCATCGTTGCTACTATCATGGTTACGGTTTCCGTCGCCTCTTTTCACAAGTTTTGTATAAGGACTATAACGGTACTACGTTCAACACACCCACGCCCCAACCAACTCACTCATCACTGCAAGTCACAACAACACACCCACGCACCAACTCACTCATCACAGCACGTCACAACAACACACCCACGCACCAACTCACTTACTCATCACATCAAGTCATAAAAACACACCCACGCACCAACTCACTTACTCATCACTACCAGGTCACAACAACACACCCACGCACCAACTCACTCATCACAGCACGTCACAACAGTACACCCACGCACAAACTCACTCACTCATCATAGCAAGTCACAACAACACACCCACGCACCAACTCACTCACTCATCACAGCAAGTCACAACAACACACCCATGCCCCAACTCACTCACTCATCACAACACACGTCATCACAACACGCGTCATCACTGCACGCGTCATCACTGCACACGTCACGACACTTCTGTTTCTTCTTCTTCTTCCCCTGGCAGCGCTCCACTTTGGAATTCCCTCCCACCGTCATCGTCTCTGGTCCCCCAAGCTCTTAGAATCATAATAACCTTGACTACTCCATTGAAGACACGTGTTACATTCTTATCTGTTACAACTTTAACCGTGCTGTTTGTTGCTGACCGCTTGATATTTTGGGCCTTTGGAACTGTGCTCAGCAACTGCTTTTTAAGTATATACAAATACTCTGCATGAGACACAGGCCATCAACTCCATTTACATTCTACACACGCTAGGCAAAGCACTGAACAGAAACATTCCTTGTCAACGTTTTCCTTAAATCGATGTCCACTGTTTATCCTGTGAGACCGACAAACCAAACAACCCATCGTCGCCTGCGTTTCAGAGCCATACCCGGGCCGGAGAATCTAAGGTGCTTAATTCAGATTGAATCTCAACGTGGGGAAACAGCATTACTGACTCAAAGCCGAACACGTCGTGACGAGCGAACATCACAGGAGTTCTCTAGCGCCAGATGTCCCCGGCACCAGCGTGCGCATGACAACACCCACTGAACTCTTAACAGCAAGGTCATGGGAGTAATGCAATTATGATGAGTACCACAGCGAATGTGGAAAAGCCAATGTTTTACATTTCCCAAATCTGGCCCTGTGCCCTTTTTATCTTGCCCTGCCACAGGCCATGCCAGGCCACGCTATGCCCCGACCACGGCCCGCCCGTAGCTTGCCGCGCGCGGTGCACTGGAGGAACGCTTCATCATGCAACCTTGCAGGAGCAGCCGAGACAAAAAAACAAAGGTAAAGGCGCAGCTCTGCAATTGCACACTCACGCCACGGCTCGCGAAAGGGGCCTCCACTGGAGGGAGCTTTAGAGTGGTGTTTGGCCTACTCTGCCACACGGGACAGACGTCTCAGAAGAGGTGGGAGTAGACCCACACCTTACCCCACCACACTCGACCTGCCGATCGACTTAGCTGTGGCTGTACCCATTCACACTGCCGGATGGACAGAGGCCGTGGGAATTTGAGAATCTTGCCACCGTCGTGTCAACTGCCGCTCCGGGAGATGGAATCGAACCCCCAGGCCCCGGCTTGCGAGTCCAGCGCGCCGCGGTGACCATTACACCACTGTGGCAGCCGCCGCTGCGGACCGAGCTGTAACTAATCGCATCAAAGTTACAGGAAATGAATTTGATTTCGTATTAATTTATGCTCGTGCACCGTTTTCAATTTATTCTCCAACGCAATTGTTTTTTCCACAGATTTCTTATTTGTTTTTTTTCGTGTTCTCACATTTTCTATTTTCGTCACTGCTGTGACAATATACTTCGCCATTGCCTACAATACCATTTCGGTGACCCCACCACCCCCCCCCCGGGTCAAAGTCACCGTTGTGTAAAGATGAAAGTCATCCTCGTCACTTGCGCTCTAAGCTGCTTTAAACAAAATCAACCTGAAACGTGACCCGCCACACTTCATTGCACAGTCATCATCGGCCCAGGCTGCCACGACATTCAAAAGCAGCGCTTTCCATGAGCGGACAAACAGCGCCCCCCCCCCCAGCACCCCCCCCCCCCAGCACCCCCCACTTGCGACGATGAAATGGCCACCAGCTACAGCGCTCCCGAACACAATTCCCGACTGGATTCAAATATCAACAGCCAGCCACGGGCGGACCCATAGCTCCCAGGAGCCCTGCGGTCCAAACACAAACACTCCGCGTGGAGGGGAACGCAGCGCGGCTGTTGGGGGCAGGCAGCCACCATGGAGCTTGGCGGTGCGGCCCTCAGCACCACGCCCGACCGCCTTTGTCTCCCCAGCGATGACGTTCATCACTTAAGGGCCGAGTCGACCTGGGTTAGGGGAGGACCCATGCAGCACCACGAGCCGGGTTCGTATCGCGACGCGTCCACCGCTCGCCACGAATACGAAGACTCTCGCCTCGGCAGACCGCTGGTTGGCAAGCGCCGTGAGCGAGTAGCACCTGCGAGCGATACAGGAGGCCCCCGGGACTGGTTCAAATGTTCGCCACCGTTGTTGATCGCCAACGGGAATCGAACTCGGGTTCGCCGGGTTCCCTTGAGCGCCGGTGCTGCGCTAAGCGCTCCCCACACGCGCCCTGGCTCGGCGCCGCCTGCACCTGCCTCGCACCTGTGTCGGCGCACAGGTGCGAGGCAGGAGATGCAGCAGCAGCAGCGGGATCTGGGGGGAGGAGGAGGGAGACGAGGAGGGAGAGGGAGGGAGCGAGCGAGCGAATCGTCGCATTCCTGCCGGCTTGCACGCATGGCTCGCGTTAAGACGACGCCGATGCGCACTGTACCTGGCCGGGCGTTTATCGCGCCGAGGTCGAGTCACCCGCACGTCGCTCGTCCAGCGTCCACCAGCGGGCGACAAGACACACGCGGATGAGGGGCGCGAACGAAGAGAACGTGCCCCGAGCGGCAGGGCGAACAGAGGGCACACGACAAACGTCAAACGAGCGGCAACAAACGGCGCGCGCATTGAGGTTGCATTGGGTGCGAGTCGACGCGGTGCTTGCAATTGAGCAAGGTCGTTGTCATTACTGTTGTTGTTATTGTTGTTGTTGTCGTCGTCGTTGTTGTTGTAAGAGCTTCGGGAGGAGACGACGATGATGGGAGGGACTTATAAAGTGGGAGTAGTGCGGGGAAGAAGCACAAAGAGGAGTGATCGTGACCTGCAGTGTGGCGAGTGAGCGGGGGGGTGAGTTAGTGGGTTGGTGAGTGGGCAGGGGGGTGAGTTAGTGGGTTGGTGAGTGAGCAGGGGGGGTGTGAGTTAGTGGGTTGGTGAGTGAGTGGGGGGGGTGAGTTAGTGGGTTGGTGAGTGAGCAGGAGGGGGGGTGAGTTAGTGGGTTGGTGAGTGAGCGGGTGTGGGGGGGGGGGGTGAGTTAGCGGGTTGGTGAGTGAGTGGGGGGGGGGGTGAGTTAGTGGGTTGGTGAGTGAGTGGGGGGATGAGTTAGTGGGTTGGTGAGTGGGCAGGGGGGTGAGTTAGTGGGTTGGTGAGTGAGCAGGGGGGGTGTGAGTTAGTGGGTGGTGAGTGAGGGGGGGGTGAGTTAGTGGGTTGGTGAGTGAGCGGAGTGTGGGGGGGGGGTGAGTTAGTGGGTTGGTGAGTGAGTGGGGGGGGGGTGAGTTAGTGGGTTGGTGAGTGAGTGGGGGGATGAGTTAGTGGGTTGGTGAGTGAGCGGGGGGATGAGTTAGTGGGTTGGTGAGTGAGTGGGGGGGGTAAGTTAGTGGGTTGGTGAGTGAGCGGGGGGGGGGGGTGAGTTAGTGGGTTGGTGAGTGAGCGGGGGGGGTGGTGAGTTAGCGGGTTGGTGAGTGAGTTGGGGGGGGGGGGTGAGTTAGTGGGTTGATGAAGTGAGCAGGGGAGTGGTGAGTTAGTGGGTTGGTGAGTGAGCGGGGGGGGGGTAAGTTAGTGGGTTGGTGAGTGGGGGGGGGGTGAGTTAGTGGGTTGGTGAGTGAGCGGGGGGGGGTGAGTTAGTGGGTTGGTGAGTGAGTGGGGGGGGGTGAGTTGGGGGGGTGAGTTAGTGGTTGGTGAGTGAGTGGGGGGTGAGTGTTAGTGGGTTGGTAAGTGAGCGGGGGGGGGGTGAGTTAGTGGGTTGGTGAGTGAGTGGGGGGTGAGTTAGTGGGTTGGTAAGTGAGCGGGGGGTGGAGGGTGAGTTAGTGGGTTGGGGAGTGAGCGGGGGGGTGAGTTAGTGGGTTGGTGAGTGAGCGGGGGCGGGGGGGTGAGTTAGCGGGTGGTGAGTGAGCAGGGGGGGGGTGAGTTAGTGGGTTGGCGAGTGAAGCGGGGGGGGGTGAGTTAGTGGGTTGGCGAGTGAGCGGGGGGGGGTGAGTTAGTGGGTTGGTGAGTGAGCGGGGGCGGGGGTGAGTTAGTGGGTTGGTGAGTGCGTTGTTGTGACCTGCGGTGGTCGAGGCGGGGGTTCTCTGCTCGAGCGACTCCTCGGCGTGGGTGGAGTCATGAAAGGAGTGAAGTTCGAGGATAACGAGGAGACGGAGTCGCCGGGGTGAGCGAGCGGCTGTGCTCCATCCGCTGCTTGCGTGCACGCCGGTCAGGAGTCGCAACGGAGTGGCAGCCGAGGATGGAACGGCTGTTTCATGCCATCCACGTCGCGTTCAACTCCCAGTTTGCACCCGCAACAACAAAACCACACTCAGCCACTCAATCCGCCAATCGCTCCCTTTACCCGCTCACCAATCAACTCGCTCGACTACTCATCAACTCGCCGAGCTCACTCGTTCACCCACTCGCTCACCACACCGCGGGGTGACAAACACCGCATCGTCGCTCAATTCCAGGAACGCGTCACACTCCAAGCTGTTGCAAATTCGACGCTGCCATTCGTTGCTGGGCGCTTGAGACTTTGGACCCGCGGTGCTCACAGACACCGTGCTCACCGTACGAATCCACCGTGTCACGACGACGCCGTGAACACGCCTTGCCGTGCCGCCGTGCCGATCGCAGCAGTACCCCGATGATGAGACAGCCTGATGCACACTGCTGCACCACTGCTGCACTCTGCTGCATGCTGCTGCACCACTACTGCACCCT